TTGAACACTTTCAAGTATTTATATTCGACTCGAACTTGGCCGGATTTTGACAAAACAAATAAAGTAACACATTCCATTCCAAATACATACGTGAGACAAACAATATGTCACTTCCAAGTTCCAACAAACTCGTTATCTTTTCACGTAATTAAATACATTTGTAAATAATCTAAATTAATGTCTTACGTAATCTTTAGGAAGTTTTAGTTCGACATTGGACAATGTCTTTATTAGATAATGTTTTTTAATAACCAGAAATGCCTGGCGCCCAGCCTTTTTAGCCCAGGATGAGGATATAAATAATTATCTTAAGAGTAGTCAGAATTAGTTGTAAAGATTCCTTTGTTTATTTGATAACGTAAATGATGAAATTCTTAATTCGGAAGCATTACAGTTGACTTATATTTCGTTGGTATAAACTTCCTTCTCAAATTATGTACACAGATCCTTATAATATAACATTTCATTCTTTGTAGAGACAAGTAAAGGTTAATTTAAACTATTTTTAAAGTCCTAATTCATTTATAAGTACATTTATTTATTTAATTTATTTTTAACGAGGAATTCGACAACTTTCAAATCGAAATTCGAGCTCATAATCATGACGTCTATTGCCCGACGTTCACCACGTCGTGTGTCGGGCAATGCTGCCTATGAATAAGAGCCCCGAGCGTCGCTTGTAACTAGTCGAGTTGCATGTCAAACAATCTCGTGATTGTATTAATTATCATAATTAATGAATAAATGTTACAGTTCTAAGTTCCTTAGACATAATGTATTATTCTTATTTATATAATTTAAGAACAATACGATTTATTTAAAGAAACTTTACGTAACTCGAGGACAGTTCGATATAAATTTTCTTTCGTCATAAACTCATAACACAGGTACTTTTTTCCTAATAATTTTACTTTTACCTTATTAGACTTACATAAATTGGTCACATTATTGAAATATTTCAACTTGTATAATGAAATAGATATCTTAACTCTTTTGAAATAAGTTCCAATATAATTTGTATTAGCAATTAATGTAGACTGAATGTGAGGTGTATGCTGTAGGCTTATCATCATGAGTAACCTGTTCCACTAAGATATCAACATGAGTAACTCCTAAGATTTCCACAATAAACAATTACTAATTCGTCAAACAATATTATAATGAATTTGTTTAAAGAAAAAGCCAAGCTTCACATCTCCGTTTTCAGTACCTACATTTAAAATGACGTCATGACTCATGATTGTATACTTGAGAAAGAAATAAAAAGACGTTTTATTACTGCTGACATTGTGTCAAAATATTTATGTAGCGGTCTGAAACAACTCCTTACTTTTATACATAATTATCATAAACTTTAGCAGCTAATCGTACTAAACGCCTAGTGGCATTTTTCTTATTTGACCACTTTTTCTGACGGACGGCCGATGGGCCCGAAAAGTACTCGAATGGCGACCAGGGACCGGAATACGTACCTAGCGTGGGCAGGACTCCCGCTAGGTGGACCGACTACATCGTCAGAGTCGCACGGAGCCGATGGACGCAGGTGGCATCTTGTTTCCGTGGAGGGCTAAGGGGGAGGTCTTTGTCCAGCAGTGGACGTTTTTCGGCTGATGATGATGATGATGATGATGATGATGATGATGATGATGATTTCTGATTGGAGGTTAAGATGCCCGCTTCTCATGCATAAGGGTATGAAACCTGGCAAGTATATATAGTATAAAATCTGTCGATTTTTAATACCTCTTGAAATGTTAAGTGCTATTTGAACTAAAGAGGTTATGTAAATATATTTCTAACAACCTAGGCGTCATAATCTTATTACTAAATTATTAATTATACATACCTTTATCTAACTAGAACGTAAGCTTCAATTCTAAGTTCATCAGAGTTCATTTCGTGATTAAAATTATATTATTCACGTATTCATTGAAATAGAATATTAACTAAACCGCTTCAATAGTCCAGGGAACGCAGACGTCTCTGTCTAATGTCTGACTTGATCCCCGGGTCAGGGAAAGCTTTATCTACAGATTTTTTTATGTATGATGATGATATGATGATAATAGGTTGACAAGCGAGCAGTCAGATTACCTGATGGTAAGAGGATGGCCTGATATGGCCTGATGACTTTTTGAAATGAGATTTTAGGATTGGGGAGGGATTGGGTCCCCGGTAACTTCATTCACACCGCGAAAAAACAAAATTGTGGTTGTTTCAAGCCGGTTTATTGTGAGGTCGTAGTATCACTCTGGTCGAGCCAACCCATTCGTGCCGAAGATTCAAATGTGGCAGAGCCCAAACTTGAATCTAAAATCTAACTAGATTAATAGAATCTTGTTTTTTCCCTATATTATGTGACGTATAGTTGAAGTATTGGCCAAAAATTCTGGGAATAAAAAAGCGTGATCTGACGTTTAAACACATCGAAAACGTACATTTTTTCATACTGACTGTACTGATAAATCAAAACAAACTTCAACAAAGTAACAACTTATTTCCGATACTAAATACCACCGTAGACGAGGTGTAATGAACCTGCCCCACCTTATAAAGGAACAATGTCCTGGCGATAGGCCAATAGCACTCCCGTCCCGTCTAGCCTACCTCACAAGACGATAAACCACAAAAACAATCCTTATTCCTACGAAATAAAGTCCTATGAATATGAAATTATAACCGCAGATTTGTGGGGTGTTATTTCGCAGGCTTTTTTCCATTTTTATTTAATCCCTATAATTACAATCCAAAGCTATAAATTCTAATTTCCTTCATAGAACGTAGCTTTGAACTTTATTCCGTTCGTTCTTTCATTCGTTCCATCCCACTTCGCAAGTTCAAGAGCGATTCCACGATTCCCAGAGTCAATGACCGGAATCTACTAATAAATAGCTTTTTAAAATTGGAACGAAATTCTCCAATGAGTGAGTTGACAGAAGCTAAATTTATTTATACAATTACATTTATTATTTCTTTCGTATTTATTTAAGATTCGATGTTTGTAAATATTTGCTAAACTGTTGGCAACTTTAAATAACGTTTTATTTTCGGAATAATATTTTTGTTATGTTCACTACCTACATATTTATTTCAACTTTTTAAAGAGATCACGCGTTTTTCTTAGGTATTTATTTACTATACAAAATTACCAATTAGATCTCGGTCTACCATGCAATTATCCTAATAGAATTTTATACGATGCAATTTTTTAGATCAACAATTAATAACTATTTTCACAGCTTATAAAATTATGGTTGACATTTTAGACGTAATGGGTACAATAAGCACAGTTAATAGTGCAATTAACTACAATAATAAAATATAGAAGGTTACTATTATGAGATCAGGGTCGGTCGGCCATCAAGACTACTGATTTACCTTTCTTATTATATTCATTATTTTATTATTTATATTTGCATATGGCTTGAACCAGCATGTATTCTTTTTATACCAATAATAATAATGGAAAACAATACTATCTCCATGATTCATGTTATCGATACTTTTTACAACTCTGTGGTCTGGCCACAGCGTGTCATCGACCCAATAAAACATAATAAGACAGCTGATATCTAAACGACGACAGCGCTATCAGCAGTACTTATCGTTTGATACGGGATTTTATTTCAAATATGTTGTTTTACTGGTTTAACTCATAAATTAATTATGTCCTTCTGACCTAGATACTCTTCGACGAGTTTAAAAATTGCGTGTCTTTGAATAAAGTTAAGGACATCTAAAAAAAATGTTGTTCATAAATTCATTTTCTAAACTGTTTTGAATGAAGAACGCAGTCAAGGTGTCAAATATTTATTGTCTGTGGTTAGTTCTCCACCTTTTTTATTGCAAATAATATTTGTATGCGGCCAGCATTGAAAAAGTTCTAATTTATTTATCTGGTGCTTGGTATAATTTTGGAATTTGAATTATTATAATCTCACCGATTCATGATTTCTCAACGATCTTCTACGGTCCTTGTATAAGCTACATAACCATGTTTTGATAACATGAATGGCTGTTATTTTATTATAATACAGACGGCTTCTTTAGTTTTAAAACAACAAAGGAATAGGCTTGTTGACTTAAACAGGGAAGATAGTTTATCAATATGGAAGTTAAGTAGATAGGTACTTTACATTTCTTAAGTTTATGACAAGTTTTATCATTTGTTTTGCATGAGCTATAGAAAAACAAAATAATATATAAATTAAGTGACTCACCTAACATGAAAATTATAAGCCCACGTATAGTTGTAATAAACTGAAATATGTGTGAATGATAAAGAAAATAAAAAGCCTACCAATAATGATTATGAAAACCAACTTAGATGGACGATATAAAACTATTTGACCTGTCTGAGTAATGATTTATCAGATAATCTTGTTTTGTTGATAACGTACATAACAACCCTAACAATTCAGACGTTTGCAAATCGAAGGTTTGTATAAAGAAAAGCTGCCAAACATTTACTTGTGACGCTTGACTGAATTAACTTCGCAAACTATAAAATTTTATTGTACACAGTTACACAATAATTTAAACATAGCATTTAAGTCCGTCTTATCTCATGTGCGTAGTCTATAAAAGCGAGGCAATTGAAATCACAATATTGCCTACGTGACCATAAGCCGAATTACTATTTTACTATGATTCTGACGTCACGTTTCCATTGTTTCAGCTGCCTGCTGCTGTGAAGTTCCTCGCCGGTTATGGGGCAGCGGTCGACTTCAACAATAAAGACCACAGCTAACCATAAATAATGCGGCACTCCGGGCCGAACCTCTCATGACCTTTGTCTTCTGAAAGAAAAACGTCGACGTTTGAAAGTGGAACGCAACCAAACATTAGTGCAGCAGAGTGCCCGAGCTGAAGGGAGCTAGTGTTGTGCTAAGTTCGCGAATGATAACGTTATCGCGTTTTAAATCCATTGCGTCTGTTTTCGTTAACCGATAGCGGCGCTGATAAAGTCTTGTCGAGTTTTCATTTATCGTCACATCGTAGACGGTCGTGGATCTACCGAGACGTGTTAAAATAGTGCTGGTGTACGACTGATATCGTTTCGCTCGCCAATGTTTAAAAACATATCGACCGTTAGCCAAGTGTGGTCGTATAAGGTCGAGCGAGCGTACCTACGTGGTGTGTGACATACTGAAGTTTGAATAAGTGTGTGTTGTAAAAATGCGTGGTTTGTGGTCTCATTTGGCTGCGCTGGGGTGGGTGGTGTCGCTGGTGGGGTGCCACACACCCGGCAGCGAGCTGGAGTCCGTGCGGTACGGGCCCACAGACGACCGGTTCATCAGTGACACGTACACAGTCGCGAACATTAATATTACGTACAGAGATGAACATGGGGAGGTGTACACGGAAACATCAGAGGTGAGTGACCTTTGTATTATACGTAAATACTTACTTACGCAAAAACAACGATTTTATTTCTCCCTGTAAAGTAATTATTAGGACTTATTTCATAACCTCTTCATAATGGGAATATAAAAAAATAATAAAATGATTGTGACAACTTCGAAGACGATTGTTCTGGTTTCTTTCGTAACAATAATTATTTAATGAAGATAATTACGTAATATATATTGCAACAATAAAAAATACATTTGAGATTATTATCCTATCTTATAGCATGAAGGATTTTATGATTCATTGACAACCATGACTTGTATCACGTAGTCTTTTTATATTCTTGGAAACTACACATACCTAAGTATAATTTTAAATTATTTATCTATTACTATCCTCGATCTTTCTCTGAATTTTACCCTGATTTTTTTTTGTTATTTTACGCCAAATTTTAAATGCCCTCTGTAAAGAATACAACCAAAAGGGATTTATCAAATTTGGTGCTGCCGTTCGCGAGTTGTCCATTCGTGTCAATTTAGAGATCCATTCCTATTCATACAATTTTAGTTGACCGAAGTAAGAAACTAAATTGCACAAACATAACTTGTATCGTAGGTTTTTGTTTTGTATTGTTTTCTGTGTATTTATTTCATCTTGAAACTGGTTTTCACACAAATCTTAATGTCAATGTTTATTAATAAATATACTGTTAGCTATTTATTCTTTTTTATAATATACTAAGAAACATTTGTATGAACAGGTTTCTTTAATTAATAACCCTTCGTATGTACATATATGTTTTGTTCTAGAATTAAGACGAAAAAGCATATGGCTGTTTTCTTTAAATCTAGCCTTATAGATAAGTTGTTGAATTGAAAAGAGTTGGACTTGGAATCTCAAAATTGGAAATTGGAATTAACATTTAAATTGTTGTTAAAGAAAATCTAACCTATTTTACGCACAATTTTAAAACCACAAAAATACAAAGCTTAGCAATGAAAAAGTCTCGATAAAATTAATATTCATAGTCATTTTTTTTACTAAAAATCATAAGTCATTGAATGGTGTATCCAAAAATTAATACTTTAATTACTTAAAAAAATAAGAATTACTTAACATATCAAAGTCCACAGAAGTTGCAGAGGAAAAACATATTATTTAACTTCACAACTATTTAGGTAATTCAAATACATACACATTATGTACATACTTACGTGGAATTAATCAAATATTTTTCATTAAACATTTAATTATTGATAAGCCAAATGATATCTGGTCTCGGGAAATAATAAATTTATCTCGATAGATATAAAAATTTCCTGATGATAACACCTTTATATTATGTTGTATGATTATTTGATCTTGCAACACATGTCTTACGAACGTCTCTTATCGTTTTGTTAATTCTCTCGAAATAATTTCTTCATACGTTTAATTATACGTGAGGGGATCAAAGGGCGCAGGATACTAAATAATATAATATTGACATTGTTCAAATTGTCGTAGTGCCGTAGTTTTCGTCGTAGCGTCGTAGTTTTCGTCGTAGCGTCGTAGTTTTCATCGTAGCTTTTGTCATCGATAGTCGTTGGTCGGTATCCGAAGCGGTCCGAACTAGTAGGTCCTAAACCTTGATCCCGGACGAGCCCACTGTGAGGATCAAGGGGCACAGTATATCGAATTATTACTCAATTTTAAATAGTATATTTCAGGTTTTTCTTTTTAATTTACAATAGCCTCATTTATCGTCTAAGTACGTCGTGCAATTGTAAATTTCAGAAGCTAATTTTCCCTCACTCACTCATTCTTTTACACATATCTTTGTCGTTCTAAAACATGAAATCACACAATACGTAAGAAATAAAAGTAAAAGTGTTATTGTCGGATGTTTCTACTGTAGCAATTTTGGGAAAGGTCATGGTCATATCATGAGTCATATAATAATTAGTCGACTAGCAGTTAGAACTAGTGCCAAACTTAAATAATTCTAGACGGATTTTTGGTTTCCCCAGTAAACGTCTACTTTTGTCAAAACTAGCTTATACCAGTGGCTTTATCCACATAGTCCAAGAAAAACAATCACTCTACAACCTCCTGGAAATGAACCTCCTAATTTGATGCACTTGAAATGCTTCGATGTTTTCTTAGTGAATTCGCTTGAGTAAGCCAATATTTTCCATAAATTTACTATTCAAAAGTGTATAAATAACGAAAATAACTCAATGAAGAAGGCGAAGCGCGTAAGGAAACTATCCTTCTTACGCTGCTGCCACAGGATATTCTCCGGACATCAGGGATCGCATGACAATCTCCGGCCATCCTAAAGGCGGGTCTGCCGACGATGGCAAGCGTAATAATGTACCGTCGCCCAGGCCCGGAGCACGAGAAGGAGCTTTTTAGTCAGTAAGAGTTTGACATTGGGAGAATGTACTCGCTCTGAAGTTCTGAAGAAGTGAAACTCTCTGTGTTGTTCAATGTAACACACCGCTGTTCCGCAGTGTCTTTCTCCTCCTCCATTGTTATTGGTAGACGATGTATGATGGAATTTTTTTACTAAGAGAAATATCGTGGCCTCCACTGGAATGCTGAATAAATGAAGAAAAACGTAAATTCATGACGAAATATCATCGAAAAATCATCTGTCATCGATCATCAAACGAAATCGTACGATTTTTATCTGACAGGCCCTTTACGTATTTTAAGCTATATACTTAAGCATACTATTATATACAATATCACAGTTCAAATACATATGATTGTGCAATATTTTTAAAAATAACGCAAAAACGATATATTTATATCTATGATTACATACTTACTATTTTTATATACATATATATCTATATGGACTGTAAGCACTAGTTGAAGATGCTTAAAATAGAATATCATTGTCTATTTTGATATTGCTAAAATACCTTATATAAAATGACTTATTGACATATAATACGTTCTGACAGTTTGAGTACTTGCGCAACCCACCCAAATGTTCTTTTGATCGGTATTGTTCGTCGGACAACTTAGCAGCACTTGCTATGCTGGTTGCAAACTGACACTTGCGTGCCTGTCTTCAGAACGGGTCCACTTAAACTGGTGTGGTTCTTACCTCAAAAGACCACTACAGTATGAACTTGCACGGTTCTGTCACATTATGTTATTTTACATTGTCTGGACTTGAAAAGAGTCAGATAGGAAATGCCGGCTTCATCTAGTTTTTCACATATAATTTGACGTGTAAAAGTAGGTACCGTTTATTGGCATATTTGCAAAAATAAATTCATTGTTTCATTGTTTCATAATATGCCTATGCCGATCCTGAAATCACTTTAATCACCCGATTTTCATGTTGAATGGAATAATACCGTGACCTCTCAGAAAACTAACGCTACGTCGTTTAAGTTAGGCCCAATCTTTTTCATACCGAAATCTTTCAATCCTCATATCCCTAATCTCTAAAACGTGCTTGCAACTTGCAGTGTAGCAAATGTCCATGTGTGGCGCCGATTGCTTACTGCTTAGATTATTCGTGTGCTAGGTAGCGTAGACTTGCGGTAGAGTTTGAGAGCAGAAATGTAATGTTAGATCTTATTATGGTGAGGCTAGAGAGAAAGTCAGACTCTTACTGACTAAAACCACCTCGTTCCGTCTCCTGCACAAGACAGGAGCCGCGGTAAATTATAACGGTTATACCCGCAACCCCGGATGTGTCCTTGAGCTCTATTTACAGACAGAACCGCAGGATTTAATATGTTAATGAAATAATCTCAAAAAACCTGCTTTGTGGGTATTAGTATTGTCTTTTCTTTTCCTGTGATAATGCAGATGGCTTTATTTATTATCGCATACTTATTATTGTAATTAATTACACAAAGACATGTGGTCTTGACGTAATTGTATGATATTGATAACTTAAGTAATTATCTATTTAATAATTATTTTGTAAAATCGTTCTTATTAAGTACTGTTTCTTAGGTGCTTTCATTGTTACATTTTGAGCAGGTTATTGTAAAACCGGTGTATTTTGTACTCATAAACTGCTGAATGGATTTCGATGAGATTTGACAAGGAGATTATCGAACTGGAATATTCAGGATGGCACTTTACCCGTTTGATGGGTATAGTCACAAGCTGATCGTTATTATTTTAAGAGTACTTAATTTTTATTGGATATGTCACTACAATATTACCAAGTTAAATTGGAAAGGGTACGTTATGGGAATTAGTTTTTATTTCCTTCTGTTTGTTTGTTCTGATGATATTAGTCCCTTTTCGACTCACATAAAATAGACAGTAAAATTGCAACTCTCAATAAACTTTTATGAAATGAGAAAGTTTGATTGGAAGTTTACACATGGGATTAGTGTGCAGATAAAGCGAAAGAAATACATATGTTTAGAACCAGGGCAGTTAATGTCTGTCGAACCCTGAGGGACGGCCATGTATCTTTTTTTGTCTATAATGATATCTCTGATTTATTTCATGGGGAGATCCACGTCTCTGGGACACGATAGACTTCATTGTTAATAAAATTGTATCTGGTATATTTAGACCCTTCTTGCTCTATCTGACTAAAAACCACGCTGTTTCTTCTCCTGCGCTTGACAAGCAAACAGACCCTGACTTACAAGAGAAATTTTGGAGGTTAAGACAGCCATTTATTAGTCATGACAATCGAAACTAATATTATAAATGCCAAAGTAACTCTGTCTGCCTATCTTTTCTTCACGCCTAAACTACCGAACCGATTTCTGTGGAATTTGGCACAGATATAGTTTGGAACTCGAGAAAGGACATAGGATAGTTTTTTATTTAAAAATCTGCAGGAAGTCACTATTCCTCGCAAACGGTATTATATCACTACAATACAAAAATAATAAAAAAAAATGCAACGATAAACTACCAAACTTTAAAAACGCAGATAAGAAAACAGTTATTCGAGTGTACAGGAAAGTTATTTATTGTTGCGATAAGATGACCTACATAATACGCAATAAACATCAAGGAGTGACATACAAACTGCATATATGCAA